GTCCTTCTATGACTCGTCAGTGATGCTACATCATACAGCTGTTTCGTCCTTTTAGGACACATCAGTGATGCTACATCATGCAGATGTTTTATCCTTCTAGGACCCGTCAGTGATACAACATCATACAGTTGTTTCGTCCTTCTAGGACCCATCAATGATGCTACATCGGACAGCTGTTTCGTCCTTCTAGGTAACCACCAACTTTAACCGATAGATACATTACACCTGATATTCCAGACGACTTTATGTATGACGTCACAAACAAAGACAGTACTTGTTTGTGTGCGCTGTCAAAACTCTTAAGATATGATCTTTGTACGATTTACTGTGATTATTTTGATCTTCACAAATGATATCACATCTGTTACATTGCCTATATCATGGCGTACGTTCGATTACATATTCTCCACAAATCAAGGCTAAATATAGATATTTTAAACTAGTGTTCCAAATAATGCAGCGGCGTACATGTTTAATGTGACAAAGAATACCTTCTCTACGAATAATACTTATACACAACATCATTAATATCGATTTTTATATCCGATTAACACTATACAACGATGTATTCCGAATCTACTCTTTGAAATTGACGTGTTGGTATAAAACTTGTTTATTGGTATGTAGTCATACCCAAACTGTTACACTGAATCCCAAAACACAATTTGACGTTTAGATGAAACGGAGGAGCGCAACCTTTTTGTAAGTATTGAATCTTTTCCCAGAATCCTTTGCACAAATATATATTTCAAAAAAACATTAACTATTATTTTTCTGTCTGATTTCGTGGTTAAAAGATCAGAATCCGAAAGTAAAATTAATGTGTTTATGTCGGGAAAAAGACTTTTATCAAAGTTTTAGTTTTATATCGTAATAGCATTATATGGTTTTATCATCTCTGACTTCCGGGAACATATGATTTTTATTTTGTTGTATTTGACAGGTAGAACGAGTGTTTTAAAAGGAGTACATGTGCTCTGTTGTGTTGGTATTATCTTTGCGATAATCGCGAGGCGTTTAGAGCTTAATGCCATGAAAGACGCCGACAAAAGCAAACATCAAAACCGAACTCGAAATTTAAAAGGAAACTTTCTCAAAAAAAAATCAATTAATAACAATAATAAAAATCATACCAAACGAACCAGGTATATAGCCTATTGCATGTAAATCTTCAAAGTATGAACTACACCGAAACTCTGTCAATATTATGATATAACTGGCACGTTTAAAAATAGCAAATATGTCTGACAGTAAAATGTTCATCACAAAGAAGACACATCTCGGAAATTTTCTTCTGCTCTGGTAAACTCAGCGAACAAATGTTCTTATAACACAACTAGTAGAAGATAAGAGTGTGACGTCACCTTCATCTTATAACACAACTAGTAGAAGATAAAAGTTTGACGTTTCGATGACTACACGGTCACCTTCATCTTATAACACAACTAGTAGAAGATAAGAGTGTGACGTCACCTTCATCTTATAACACAACCAGTAGAAGACAAGAGTGTGACGTTTCGATGACTACACTGTCAGCTCATCAGACAAATGACCGGTGTGGAGCGGACTAGCACTGACGTACATATTATACGAGATGGTACGGCATCGACCAACTTTTTCGGCTGCACTATAATCCTATGCGCACTAAGGTCGAAAATAGTGACAACATAGAAATAAGCGGTAGCAATATCTCTGTAGTCGATTCGACTTTGTTTAACAGTTGGTCAATCTTTTACTAGCTGTGTTAAAAGAACTTTTGCTCAACTATGAATATATCCTTTTCATGTGAGGTACACAAATAGCCAATGCGTCAACGCGAGAGGACAGCAACCTCTCGGCGGGTTTGTTATACTTGTGGTACATAAATCCCTATTCTCTGGAGTTTCACTTCTTGTGTTTGCTGAGTGTGACTATCAGTAACCTCATCATCTATTGACACCCTCTGTATATAAACTTGCTTGTTCCGCGGATGTTAGAATCGATAATGTTCTATAAATTCATATTAGCGATGTTTTTTTCTTGTTTTGCTATAATTTGTCAAAATATTGACCTGGTTATCATATTACGGAATTCCAGTATATGTTGTGTATTCAACAAAAGGGGAAACATTTTGCTATATATTTTTTCCTAAGAAATGGTTTTAGTTTTGAACTCTGTCTATCTCTCTGATTCACTTTTTTTCTATTTTCGAAATTCGTAATGGACAACTTTTACTCTAACTCGTTGGTCATTCAAACGTGACGTCAAAAATGCCTTCTTTTCCTTATATAGCGAGTTGATAACATAAGAAACTGGTTAACGAAAATGATAGTTTCAAATATTTATGTAAACTTTTTAACTTTGTTATTGATCAGGATACCTGTTTTATCACTCAGAAATTAATTTCAAAATGTTTCTTTTTGATATATTTCAATTTCTACCCAAATCCGACTCAATGAAACTACTAAATGTGATTTGTTTCATTTACCGATGAATTTGACCAGATTAACATTGCCAGTGCGTATGAATACAAATATTAATAACTGTAACTTAGCGTTTCAGAAGATGTACACAACATTGTAGGTACATAAAATTCTAGGTACACAACATTGTAGGTACATAAAATTCTAGGTACACAACATTGTAGGTACATAAAATTCTAGGTACACAACATTGTAGGTACATAAAATTCTAGGTACACAACATTGTAGGTACATAAAATTCTAGGTACACAACATTGTAGGTACATAAAATTCTAGGTACACAACATTGTAGGTACATAAAATTCTAGGTACACAACATTGTAGGTACATAAAATTCTAGGTACACAACATTGTAGGTACATAAAATTCTAGGTACACAACATTGTAGGTACATAAAACTCTAGGTACACAACATTGTAGGTACATAAAATTCTAGGTACACAACATTGTAGGTACATAAAATTCTAGGTACACAACATTGTAGGTACATAAAATTCTAGGTACACAACATTGTAGGTACATAAAACTCTAGGTACACAACATTGTAGGTACATAAAATTCTAGGTACACAACATTGTAGGTACATAAAATTCTAGGTACACAACATTGTAGGTACATAAAACTCTAGGTACACAACATTGTAGGTACATAAAATTCTAGGTACACAACATTGTAGGTACATAAAATTCTAGGTACACAACATTGTAGGTACATAAAACTCTAGGTACACAACATTGTAGGTACATAAAACTCTAGGTACACAACATTGTAGGTACATAAAATTCTAGGTACACAACATTGTAGGTACATAAAACTCTAGGTACACAACATTGTAGGTACATAAAATTCTAGGTACACAACATTGTAGGTACATAAAATTCTAGGTACACAAGATTGTAGGTACATAAAACTCTAGGTACACAACATTGTAGGTACATAAAATTCTAGGTACACAACATTGTAGGTACATAAAATTCTAGGTACACAACATTGTAGGTACATAAAACTCTAGGTACACAACATTGTAGGTACATAAAACTCTAGGTACACAACATTGTAGGTACATAAAATTCTAGGTACACAACATTGTAGGTACATAAAACTCTAGGTACACAACATTGAAGGTACATAAATATCTAGGTACACAACATTGTAGGTACATAAAATTCTAGGTACACAACATTGTAGGTACATAAAATTCTAGGTACACAACATTGTAGGTACATAAAACTCTAGGTACACAACATTGTAGGTACATAAATCTCTAGGTACACAACATTGTAGGTACATAAAACTCTAGGTACACAACATTGTAGGTACATAAAATTCTAGGTACACAACATTGTAGGTACATAAAATTCTAGGTACACAAGATTGTAGGTACATAAAATTCTAGGTACACAACATTGTAGGTACATAAAATTCTAGGTACACAAGATTGTAGGTACATAAAATTTTAGGTACACAAGATTGTAGGTACATAAAATTCTAGGTACACAACATTGTAGGTACATAAAACTCTAGGTACACAACATTGAAGGTACATAAATCTCTAGGTACACAACATTGTAGGTACATAAAACTCTAGGTACACAACATTGTAGGTACATAAAATTCTAGGTACACAACATTGTAGGTACATAAAATTCTAGGTACACAACATTGTAGGTACATAAAACTCTAGGTACACAACATTGAAGGTACATAAATATCTAGGTACACAACATTGTAGGTACATAAAATTCTAGGTACACAACATTGTAGGTACATAAAATTCTAGGTACACAACATTGTAGGTACATAAAACTCTAGGTACACAACATTGAAGGTACATAAATCTCTAGGTACACAACATTGTAGGTCCATAAAACTCTAGGTACACAACATTGTAGGTACATAAAATTCTAGGTACACAACATTGTAGGTACATAAAACTCTAGGTACACAACATTGTAGGTACATAAAACTCTAGGTACACAACATTGTAGGTACATAAAATTCTAGGTACACAACATTGTAGGTACATAAAACTCTAGGTACACAACATTGTAGGTACATAAAACTCTAGGTACACAACATTGTAGGTACATAAAATTCTAGGTACACAACATTGTAGGTACATAAAATTCTAGGTACACAACATTGTAGGTACATAAAATTCTAGGTACACAACATTGTAGGTACATAAAACTCTAGGTACACAACATTGTAGGTACATAAAAATCTAGGTACACAACATTGTAGGTACATAAAATTCTAGGTACACAACATTGTAGGTACATAAAATTCTAGGTACACAACATTGTAGGTACATAAAACTCTAGGTACACAACATTGAAGGTACATAAATCTCTAGGTACACAACATTGTAGGTACATAAAACTCTAGGTACACAACATTGTAGGTACATAAAACTCTAGGTACACAACATTGTAGGTACATAAAATTCTAGGTACACAACATTGTAGGTACATAAAATTCTAGGTACACAACATTGTAGATCTGCCTAATGTTAAAAAGATCCAACATTTAGCCTACCTTCGATCTGAATGGTCTGATCTGCCTGACTCCTAATACAATCTTCGTCACTACCCACTTTCCAGGTTCTTACCATGCTAGGGTCGGTGAAGGATCCATTGTACGCCTGTCAATACAAACAATCACAAATATTATACTCTATACAAATACACGAAATTATATTTTAGAATTATTAGGTTCCTGAAAAGTAGATATTATCACTGGATCATTTGTTAGTACATAAACCCTGTTTGCGGATATTTGCACACAGTAGGGAAACCCTTGAACACGTTAACATAAACCTTACATATATATTTCGTAATTAAACACTAGCGTAACAAGGGTAGAATGGTATAAAGTGAATTAAATACATTTAAACGTATTTATCACACATGATGTGACATATTATTTTGTTTTTGTATACATGTGATACGACCGAGCGGAGATTTGACTGCTTGAACGTTTCTACAGGGTTTTTTTTCGTGATGTCATAGCTTCATGGCGTCATATATGTTTATGTATTGCGACGTCACTGACGAAAGGAATAGAGAATGAAAATATCTCCAATTTGTATTTTTTTATCACTTCATTTAAATTTCATATTGACGAATGCTTGTATTAAGGTCATGTGATAAACAGAATCTTAAATTCGTTTCCGTTTCAAACGCGTTTAATGGAACCGGAAGCTTGGTAAATGAATTGAAAAACATAAGAATGTTAAAAATGATCGTTTCCTAAATCTCGTTTTGATGGAGAATCATATGCGATCCATATCAAATGATTTGGGTATAAACTTTATAATCATTGTACGTCATTGTACTAGATGTCATACTCCGATCATGTCTGATAAAGACCAGTAAGCAAGATACGTCAGGTTTGATCACAAGCGGAGGCACGAGAAAATAAAAAGCAATAACTAGCGTTAACAGACAGTACGATTTCAGAACTACGCATCATCTCTTAATTGACAACATGTTTGTCCATACATTTTCGCAATTGGAATAACGTTCTCATTTCCTGATAGTCGTTAAAACATTTTCGGTATCGGTTTCAAAAGATTAACATCAAGTAGATGTTTTTTTTTCTCTTTGAGTATCTGATTTCGGATCTCCATACATCAGATACAGATTGATATCGATTCAAAAGTTCAATAATCGTCAATACATGGTGATTCACAGACAAATTGATCGATTATCTTGCCTTGTGATTTTGTTTGTTCGGAACAGCCTCTTGACACGTTACCGCTCTTCAGTGTAAATGAGAGAAAAGACACTGGCACAGTGAAACTTGGTAAATCATTGAATTACGCTGACTACAAACCTTCACTTTGATAATAACAACGAAAGCATATATTATTGTAAAGCGTCTCCCATCATCACCGCCCAGCCCCATCCCTACCCTCACTTCACGTGGCATACTTTGTTAACAAAACTGTTATCGTCTTAGTATCAAATAAGTCATTGTATTAAGCTATCTCTCTCTAATGAAGCGTGAGCGAGTCTTACTGACACAACAGTTTCACTGGTGTATCTCTCTCCAATGATACGTGAGCGAGTCTTACTGACACAACAGTTTTACTGGTGTATCTCTCTACAGTGATGCGTGAGCGAGTCTTACTGACACAACAGTTTCACTGGTGTATCTCTCTACAATGAAGCGTGAGCGAGTCTTACTGACACAACAGTTTCACTGGTGTATCTGTCTAAAATGATGCGTGAGCGAGTCTTACTGACACAACAGTTTCACTGGTGTATCTGTCTAAAATGATGCGTGAGCGAGTCTTACTGACACAACCGTTTCACTGGTGTATCTCTCTACAATGATGCGTGAGCGAGTCTTACTGACACAACAGTTTCACTGGTGTATCTCTCTACAATGATGCGTGAGCGAGTCTTACTGACACAACAGTTTCACTGGTGTATCTCTCTACAATGATGCGTGAGCGAGTCTTACTGACACAACAGTTTTACTGGTGTATCTCTACAATGATGCGTGAGCGAGTCTTACTGACACAACAGTTTTACTGGTGTATCTCTACAATGATGCGTGAGCGAGTCTTACTGACACAACCGTTTCACTGGTGTATCTCTCTACAATGATACGTGAGCGAGTCTTACTGACACAACAGTTTCACTGGTGTATCTGTCTAAAATGATGCGTGAGCGAGTCTTACTGACACAACCGTTTCCCTGGTGTATCTCTCTACAATGATGCGTGAGCGAGTCTTACTGACACAACACTTTCACTGGTGTATCTCTCTACAATGATGCGTGAGCGAGTCTTACTGACACAACAGTTTCACTGGTGTATCTGTCTAAAATGATGCGTGAGCGAGTCTTATGACACATCAGTTTCACTGGTGTATCTGTCTAAAATGATGCGTGAGCGAGTCTTACTGACACAACAGTTTCACTGGTGTATCTGTCTACCATGATGCGTGAGCGAGTCTTACTGACACAACAGTTTCACTGGTGTATCTCTCTACAATGATGCGTGAGCGAGTCTTACTGACACAACAGTTTCACTGGTGTATCTGTCTAAAATGATGCGTGAGCGAGTCTTATGACACATCAGTTTCACTGGTGTATCTGTCTAAAATGATGCGTGAGCGAGTCTTACTGACACAACAGTTTTACTGGTGTATCTGTCTACAATGATGCGTGAGCGGGTCTTATGACACAACAGTTTCACTGGTGTATCTCTACAATGATGCGTGAGCGAGTCTTACTGACACAACAGTTTCACTGGTGTATCTTTCTACAAATGATTTATACAATAACCTCTTTCGAGTGAATCCTTTCACAACAGTTTCACTGGTGTATCTGTCTACAATGATGCGTGAGCGAGTCTTCTGACACATCAGTTTCACTGGTGTATCTGTCTACAATGATGCGTGAGCGAGTCTTACTGACACAACAGTTTCACTGGTGTATCTGTCTACAATGATGCGTGAGCGAGTCTTACTGACACAACAGTTTCACTGGTGTATCTCTCTACAATGATGCGTGAGCGAATCTTACTGACACAACAGTTCTACTGGTGTATCTCTCTACAATGATGCGTGAGCGAGTCTTACTGACACAACAGTTTCACTGGTGTATCTGTCTACAATGATGCGTGAGCGAGTCTTATGACACATCAGTTTTACTAGTGTATCTGTCTACAATGATGCGTGAGCGAGTCTTACTGACATAACAATTTTAATGGTGTATCTCTACAATGATGCGTGAGCGAGTCTTACTGACACAACAGTTTCACTGGTGTATCTGTCTAAAATGATGCGTGAGCGAGTCTTACTGACATAACAATTTTAATGGTGTATCTCTACAATGATGCGTGAGCGAGTCTTACTGACACAACAGTGTCACTGGTGTATCTGTCTACAATGATGCGTGAGCGAGTCTTACTGACACAACAGTTTTACAGGTGCCACGGGTATGTAGATTTATTCATTTAATACAAATGATTTATACAATAACCTCTTTCGAGATTTAACAATGGAATCCTTTCCTAACTATTAAATCTGCCGTCGAATATCCTCCTGTCTGGGATTTCGTTTTGAAGCGCCATCCCTGCAATTTTTTGCTTTTTATTGTTTTTTTTTATTTTGCTGTAGTAGTAGTTGTATTAGTAAATATATAGTAGTAGGATAGTAGTAGTAGTAATGGTAGTAGTAGTAGTAGTAGGAGTGGTGGTAGTTGTAGTTGTAGTAGTAGTAGTAGTAGTAGTAGTAGTAGTAGTGGTAGTAGTAGTAGTAGTGGTGGTAGTTGTAGTTGTAGTAGTTGTTGTTGTTGTTGTAGTGGTTGTAGTATTAGTGGTAGTTGTAGTAGTAGTAGTAGTAGTAGTAGTAGTAGTAGTAGTAGTATTAGTGGTAGTTGTAGTAGTAGTAGTAGTAGTAGTAGTAGTATTAGTGGTAGTTGTAGTAGTAGTAGTGGTATGTTTCTGTTGAAGTGGGATGTTGCAACACATAAAGTGACAGCGAAAATAAAACATAATAAATGTTCAGGAAGCTTCTGTGTACCTGAAATACTATACACAGAAATACAAACTTTTTAACAGAAAATGAATACATTCATTACATCATGATGTTGATTGTAGAAAGCATCTGAAGCAACTGAATACAAAAGACATTTAGGAAACCTCTATTATTGTGGTATTATACGAGTCTGGCACTATCCCTCTCTATTCTTTAGCTACGCTGTAATAAGTCAGTGCTCTAGAATTCCGTCATTTAGGATTGAGTTGAGATCAATTGTTTGCCTTCGAAAAGACAGGACAGAAGGAGTTAGTGATAATCAGTGAATTATACCACACTCCACGCCAGCTTTTCCCAGACAGAAGTTAAGGCAACCTTTACGTCTAACACACATTCCATTTCCATAGGCTTAACGCCTACAGTGTTGAACGATACCACGCGTGTCATGGAAAATATCTCGATAACAATACATTTTATGCCGGCTTCATGCTGGAACATGTCATTCGACTCCGTGGTCTTGTCATCATCATCATCATCATCATCATCATCATCATCATCATCATCATCATCATCACTTTCAGTAGCCAGATATATACTCTATAGGTCTTTTAAAAGATGTTTGCTTGCAATGAATGTGCACTTGAAATCGGCGACTTAATGAGGGACATCTCTTGCAGTTCAGGGCGTGGAATTTTGTTCGGGGACATGAAGTAAGCTACATATTACTAAGAAGCCAATAAAAGTAGGCTTCCTGCTGAATTGAGGGTTTTCAACCGTGTGTTCTACCAGGGAACATTGAAGACAACAACATAGATATTGTTCCGCGTTGTAACTCATGAGATAACGATCTTTGCTTTTTCTGTCGTCTATCTCTTTCTTGTGCCTTAATTTTCAGTGCCTAGTGCCCCTTAATCCATACGTACTCATGTGACATTGAATGTGTATAGAAAACCGAGACATTAGGTATTATAAATTAAAAATTTGTATAACGAAGTTTAAAATTACTAAGTGGTGGCTTCAAGGCCGTCTTTTGTTCGTCTCGCAATTTGGTACCATCAGAAATCCCACATGTCAAAAACTGAGCAAGATACAGCACATCTGTATGTAAGGATATGTAGTAA